TGCTGAGGGCACAAATCTTATTTTCAGGGTGTGAGAGCTGACGTATCTACACCAACCAGTTATTTCACAGCAGCCAGTTAACCACTGTTTGTGTTTGCATAGCAAGACAAGGGGAGGGATCTTATTTTTCTTCCTTCACCTGGGAGAGGGCTGAGACAGACAGACACATTTGAAGTATCAACTGATTTTTGATTGCCCCTTCTGGCCTGCTTTTGAGCTGGCTTGTGGGGAAAATATCATGCCTCCCTTTATTTGTAGCACAGCTTTTGCTGTTGTCGGGTACTGCTGCAAGTGCTCAGCAATTCAACAAACTCACACTTGGTTACCTAGAGGGAGACAGCAGAAGGAAGAATTACATCATTGACTAGCTGTAAAAACTTACATGTAAAAAGCATAGAAACTATTCTACATAAGGCATTTATTGTCCTGAAAAAGAATTTCAGCCACTTGGTTTTTGAGGGGTTTTTTTGTCCTTTTCTAGGTTCTTGTGTCATTCATGGCCTCCCGTTTGTTTATTATCATGCGCACCCTGCACTGATGAAGTGGGAGCCTTGCCGACAGCTATTGCAAATAAGTCTTAGTAAAATTAATATGGGCAGGAAGAGCAAGTTAAAGTAATCCAGGTGGTTTTTGCTCTACAGTGTCCTAATTTTTTAATCCTTCTCTTGGCACATACAGTATCTCTGAAGGTAACTGGCAACCATATCAGTTACTGGAGCCAAAATAATGTATAGGAACTTGACTGCCTATCAGTTGTACCCCAGAAGCCAGACAGGTAGGTATAGTTCATGGAGAAGGTGCAAATTATAGCCCCTTCTGCTATCCAGAATGTACTTGTTGACCTTCCCATTTCTTTTGGCATTAATACATTTCTCTTTCTCTAGGTGGAAATACAGAGGAACAGCTTCCCCCTCTTCCCCTCTGCGTTACACTGTTACTCATGACACCCTGAGTTCTTGGATGCAGGACTCAACATAGTGAGACCACGGTCCCAAGCTGGGACCTCCACAAGCTACCCTAACACCAAATACTAGTGGCTGTAAGAGAGAACATTCAGGTTCATCCACAATTCACAATTCACAGCAGTTAACACCCCCACAAGTTAACACTCCTCACAAGAGACATGCAGACAGCAAAGAACTACGGTCTTTTGTAACAACTCACCTTCAGTATTTGCTTTTGAGCTCTCATACTTTTCCCAGTTCTTGGCTGACTTAAATGAACGGCACAGACTATTTGTGTGAAGATGATAAGCCGAAGAGGGATGAGAAAATTCTACTTATGTTAATTTATAGAATACAAAAATACATAACTAAACTGTATCTGTGATGGCAGCCAAGGACTTTTCCTGTTGCAAATGCTTTCCAGCTTTAGCCAAGCCTTTTAAGAGTAAATACCAGCAGTGCTGCTTTGTATCCGAGAGAGGGTGCTAAAACAAAATATTTACTACAAAAACTTCAGAGCTCCACAATTGCTCGATTCAGTGCTCCTGCCTGCATAAATTTATTTTTACTTAGTTTTCATTTTACTTGCTCGCAGCTGGCAATTTAACACAAGCTTTAGCTTTACAGACATATCACACCAGTTTAGTTTCAAAGCTGAAAATAACATCTAGAAAGAAATAACCATACCAGAGGAAAGCAAGGGAATAAACTTTCAAATTTTCACTTCAGCCTGATTACTCAGATTTGATTCCATGCAGTTTTATTACTGACAGTTCTGACTTAATAAAATTAATGAAAATTAACAAAAGTTAAGTGAAGGAGGAGAAATTTAGGTTAGATATACAGAATAAATTCTTTACTGTGAGGGTGGTGAGGAACTGAAAGAAGGTTTCCCAAAGTAGCTGTGGATGCCCAATCCCTGGCAGAGGCCAAGGCCAGGTTGGATGGGGCCTTGAGCAAACTGATCTAAAGTAAGGTGCTCCTCTTTATGACAGAGAGCTTGGAACTAGATGATCTTTAAGGTCCCTTCCAGCCCAAACCATTCTGTGATTCTATAAAATTCTGTCACACTGACTTTGTAACTTCCCATGGTGTCACTAGCAAAATCAAAATCTGCAGGTACATAACCATTGTCCCGTGCCAAAAAAATTAGAAAAAGAATGGATAACAGAAGAAATATATCCTCTTTCATCTGAGCTAGATGCTCAGAGACAGAAGAGACATTTCACCAGTGAGTTAGATAGATGCTGCTGACAGGACAATTTTGTGAAAGAGGCATGTCCTGAGTTTAAATTCCAAACTTCGGAAGAGGTCATGGTCAAGAGCAGTGACTGCTACTAGGTGACATGGTAATGGGAGACAGAAAGACTTTCCTGAACTAAAACTTTCTCCTGCTGATTGAAACTTAGTGGGAGCTGAGTGTTGGTGGTAGTTGACCAGTGGTACCTTGTCCACTCTGTTTCCTACTGAGCTACAAGCCCAGTGGGACCTATCAGCTCTGAAGTCATTGCAGCTCAAGGGTGCTTTTCTTAAGATGCAGAGATATCCAAAACCTGACTGGGCACCACTTTGGGCAGCTGGCTGTAGGAGACCCTGCCTGAGCAGGTTGATTAGACCAGATGATCTCCAGAGGTCCCTTCCCACTTCAACCAGTCTGTGATTCTGTAAATTAGGTAGTTTGTGATAAAGTACAACCTAGAACAAGCCCTGGACCAGCAGTGCTCAAACTAACTCCCTGTGGTATTGCACTTTGAACAGTGGTGGTTGTGTAACAGCATTGCCCCAGAATGCAGTGCTGTTTAAATTGCCACTTCTTACTCTGCTTGTTTTCAGGGAATTTCAGCTGGAACTAAGCAAGTCTATTTGTTCATATGTCAATTTATTTTTCTGCCTTTTATCTCAGGACAATATGCTGCTCAACAATCACTGAAAACTGGCTGGCAGAGGTCTGCTGTGCTTGCTGCTTGGGATATAACTAAATGCATGGCATCACTCTCCCCACAAAACATATGAATCCAAATCCTGCCACAGCCCTTAAATCTCCAAATTCAGGTCATTAGATAGGTGTTAAAAATATCCATGATGCTATTACAGCTTCTCTTAGATGCCACCAGAATCCTATTGATTCTTCACTGGAGACACTATTGTTTTTATAAAAAAGAAAGTTGCTACCATCGAAGGAAATAGTTAAGGAAAAAAAAATCAATTCGTATGAATATAATGTGTCAGGAACAAAGAACTGAAGAAATTAGAAATGTGACATCTTTACCAAACTTGAATATATATTTCCTTTCTGTTTTAGACAAAGCAAAACAATAAGAAAGACAAAAATACCTTGTATTACCATGTACTTAGGTCTAGATTTGGCTTGACACACTAACCCAGATTTTTTTAGACTATAAAGAAATTGGAATAAAAATTGTGAAGCCAAAGCATTGCAATGCACTGGGTCACTTCTATGTTCCTCTGTCAGTCAGCTTCCAAACCTCTACTTGCTCTGCAGAGTTTTTTGGACAAAGAGGCAAATTTTCTGTTTAGAGAACAATTTCTCTGGGAACAAAATAGGTATGAAAAATTATTTCTCAGTATTTCAAGGTGGTTTGTAATGACACACAAAGAATTAAATTAATAACCTATGAAGAAGATGAAATAGGGGGAAAGCTGGCAGGTCAACCTCAGGAATTGTGGGAGTTAGTGTAGATTAACATGATGGAATTTGGAAGCTTGAACAAACAAGTTTGTGTTTGTAAAAGTGGGTTAGAAGTTACATAAGGAGACGCTTTCATGTGAGTCTCCTGGGAGTATCATTTCTGGCCAGGCAGCATCCCCGGAAAAAATGCCATCCTCACTGCCTTTGATGGACCTCTGTGTCTAGACCCAAGAGAAAGCTAGGGCTGAAGTGGTACATGGACAAAGAGCCAGTTGGGAGGGAAATCTCCAGGTCCAGAACACCAGTGCTACATTTTGGACAAATACAGCATGTCTGTACATCAAGTACGCTTTAGCTTGTGAAGATGACACCAGTCCTGCACCACACTCCTTAACTTATTGAGTCTCCTTAACTTATTTCTACTGTTTGTCCCACTGAAATTAGGAAATACATCTCTGGGCTCTGGTCGACCAAACTATGAACACAGAAGTGAGAAGGCAGCTATGGAAGTGCATGTATGGATATGTAATTTCTTGACAAGTTTTCCTTTAGAAAATAAAATAAAAATGAAAAATATTAATCCTTTTTAAGAAATATTATTTTGATTTCACATGCCAAATATTTCTTTATTAAAAGCAGGGATAAAGAAGCAGGAAACTTTCAACCAACTTTGGCAGTTTAAATAAATGTTTTATAGTAGCTGTAAGACTTTGTTAGCACACAAAAATGAGTTTTGAAGGTGTGAGATTCTGTGCTTGTTACTCTAATCACAAAGCCACTTCTATCCCTGACTCTTTTTCTGCTGTGCGTCAGTGGCCGAGTTGTGATGGGATCAGTAGCTCCTGTTCTGTGTGATTTTTTTGTTTCCTTTCTAGCCAGCCTCAACATTTGCTCATCAATCCCTCCCTAACAGACAGATCTCCTGGGAGATGCCAACAGTTAGAATCATAGAATCATTTAGACTGGCAAAGACCTCTGAGATAATTGAGTCCAACCAGTAACCATTAGGTGGTGGATCTCACTTTGGCACAGCGTGTGGAAGATTCAGGGCTTCAGGTTAGAGGAGTTCAGCTTGTAGACCAAACCCAAGTTGAATCCAACATATTCAGTGACCCTGTCTGCTCCCAGAGCGGCCCGAACAGTGAATGGAATCTTCCCGACAGGGTAGATTCCAACAAAGGCAAACGGCCACCATCTGCCGTGACAGCTGGGTGGGTGAGGGAACAGCACAGCACAGCCTCTCCCCCTGCTCTTTGCTCTGCTCCCCACCGCATCCCCATCCCTCCTCTTTGCTCTGCCCTCCCTCGGCGGAGCCCCGGCCATCCCCCCCGCCCCGTGCCCGCCCTCGCCGGGGCCGGGAGGAGGCGGTGCCTTATAGGGAGGGCTCGGGGGCCGCGCCTGCAGAGCCGCGCCGAGCCCGGCGATACCCTGGACAGCGCCTCGCCGCCGCCATGGTGAGCGTCCCGCCCGCATCTCCCGCCCGCATCCCCTGCCCGCATCCCCTGCCCGCACACACCCTCCCGGGGCCGCCTGCCTCCGGGCCGCCGCTGCCCCTCTGCTCCCTGCCCCCCGCTCCTCCGGGGCCGGCCGAGAGCCCCCGCTGCCCGCCCTCCCTCCTCCCTCGCCGCTGCCCCCGCTCCCACGGGCCACATGCGGGACGTGGTTGTTCGGGGGGGAAGGCGGGGAATGGCCTCAGATGCCCCCAGCCCCCACGCGAGGCACCAGAACAGCCCTCGCGGGTCGGGTCCAGCGGCTGAGCTTGGACATCGTGGGGAAGGAGGGAGGGACAGACGGACCTCAGGGAGCGGGGGAGGAAGGATGGAGGAGAGGGAGCCCCGGGGGCACCCGCGCAGCGCGGGGAGCTGGGCGGCGAGCGGGGACAGGCACGTGGAGGAACGCGGTCCTGGGTGGAGGGAGGGATGGAGAGAGGGAGCAAGAGATGCGCAGCCCCTGGGCATCCATCTCCCCCGGGCCCCCTGCGCCCTGCCCCGGTCCGAGCAGGTGCATTCTGCTCTACTCCGAGGTGCGTTTGAGCGTGTTACATAAACCGATTATTCCCGTTAATTTGCTATCTTAACAGAAGCTCTTCCTTTAGCCATGCAATCTGTAGTGGAATTTTTTTTTTTTTTTTTTTCCCGTGTAATGAATGAACAATGGAGTTTTAGATTCCAGATCAGCATTTAGAAGAGTTAAAGTGGAACAATGAAGTCACCTATTTAGTGAGCAATGCCGGTTCCCCGTAGCACATTGTGTCTTTGCAGTCATAGTAACTTTCCCAAAGGGGCTCATCCTGTTTATAAACAGCAATGCATTAAGTGTACTGCTGACCTTACAAAGTAGGACAGTATCAAAGAAGTATTTTGCAGCCTTAAATTTTGAAGCACATTGAGATGAATAATTTGGCAAAGCTTGTTGTATCAGAAGCTTGAGACACTACTAACAACAGAGCCTAGTTTTTGTTTTACAGGATTTAACAAAAATACTTTTTTCCCCAAAAAAAGTCTTTGCATCATGTAAATTCTGCCTTCCTTGAACAAAAATCCGTGTAGACCCTTCCTCCCCCCATAAATCCAGAGATGAATAATATTCAAATAGTCATTCTATGAATTAACTTGAGTCCTCTTTCTAAAAGTCATGTATCCACCTGCTGTCAGTCTGAATCTGTTTCTCCTATGTATTCTATTTGCCACCAACTCAGCTTTGGAATGATAGATGTGAGAAGACCCTAATGAAAAGATGTAAAATGCTGCAGTAGTTTATGCTGCCTCAGCCCCCTTAGAGTGACATAATTGAATTGCTGTTTCCTATCAATTTGGAATATAAACACAAAAGCTATGGCTAAATTACTATAGCTGCACAAAGCTTAAGTTAATACCAGCCATTGATAACATCTTCCTTGTGACAGAGGACGAAGGTTACAAAGATACCTGGTGCTGCAGAAAGTAATGTGCATTATTTATCAGTAATTGGTTCAGGTAATATCCAGGTGCTCAGGAGTACTGAGGCAGCTGGAAAGAAAGGTAAAATATCCTGAACTAGTTAAAATGTTTCATTTTGATTCCTTCCAGACTGAGATGAAGTCAGTTATACTAGTGTAAATCAAGGAAGCATTAGTTGGTAACATAGGCATTGACCAGCTCGTACCAGTGGAAATTATAGCTGACACCTACCCATAACCTGTTCTTTCTGGTTCCTAGAGCTGTTCAATTAACCTTGACATTTTTCTTGAAATGGCTGGAAGCAATAACCAGAACTTGCCATTCAGAGCTACACATGGGCTTGGATTAGTAAATTTTGGTCTTCTGTATATCCAGAAATCTTAGTGTTCAAAATTTCTGACATTTCTCAAGCTTTGTTACTCATAGATAAAGACATTATGAAGAAAGAATTGCCAGTCTGAGAAAGTCCTTGAAGTGGTATAAAGGCTGAAGGTTACTTTGGCTCCAAAAGTTGGAAAGGGTGTCCTTGGAATAATAGCTACTGAAACAAAAACCTGAGCTATTGATGAAAGCTGTTGCAATGATGATAATGCAGGTTAAAAGTTACATCACATCGATTTCTAGACGGACCTGGAGCTTTGGGGGCACGGGGTCATGGGGACATTGGAGTATACTACCAAAGGTATTTGGAGCAAATGTAGGACAAACAGATTTTTGGCCCAAGTGGTGGGAGCATTGACTAAGCGTTCCCTTTTCTAGTACAGAAATAGAGATAAGCAGGTGTAGGTTGCTAGTGTCCTTTAAACTCAACTGAGAGTTTTTTCAGCATCCTGGGTGTTCAACAATCACTAATATTTGTAGAAAGTTGCATAAGAAAACTTTTTTGTTTATTTGTTTTGAAATTGCATTTTGCTGAAGCAGCAAACCACTGCCATCATAAACCATTAAGTATTTCCTCATCATCCTCACCGTATGAGGGCAACCACAGTAGGCTTGGTTCTTCTGCTTATGTAGTTCACTGCAGCTCTCCTTGCTTCAGTGAATCTAGGTCAAATTACTCTGGCTCAGGATTTGGCTGCACCCTTGAACTTTAAACCGATTACATGTTTTGATTTGTCAGTGTATTTTCCATGGGGTCAAATCCCACTTTTATGGAATAAGAGGGTGTATAACATTGCAGTCATGGCAGCTTATGCTTACGAAGAGACTAGGTAGCACTAAGGTAAGCATAAACATGAGGACTGTATTTTATAGGTGCCAGTATCTATACCTCTTCAAGTACCCAGGAGGTACAAGGGAGAGACAGAAGCTAGAATATGTTTTTCATTTCATTCAGAGGCTTTGTTACCCCTGTAATCTGAAGTCAACACAGAAAGACACCTAACTCTCCTAAAGCATTCATAAGCATCAAGGCCACCATATCAGCATATGGACCTCGATGTGGGCATACACCGATTGCAGAACATACACCAAGTGCCCTAGAGAGAGCGAAAAATGTCTCTTCTTTGCTGATAGTAAACAAAATAACCCCCTGTCTCATTGTGCATTGGCGTTTGTTAGTTTCTCTGAATACTGCATGAGAAAGAGTATTGCAAAGACAATGTTCTAGCCCCTGATCAGTGACATGCAGATTGGAAGAGAATGCTTTTCAGCAGGGATCAGCTCAGCACAAATATCTGATGACACAACATCCAATGCTACAGCACCCACAAGATCTCTCCAGCCCCAGCAGAATGAACTGCAGCAGTGCTGCCATCCAGAACCAGAGCAGGAAGGCAGGGGTTTGCCAGCTGACACAGAATTAATAAGCTATGAGAAAACATGCTGATAAACTGCATATAGAACAGAAAAAATAGACTCTACTTGCATAGAAACTCAAGAAGAGACACTGAAGCCTTTTGCACATGGTGGAATTGATTAGGAAAAAAACCTTCCAGGAAATGAATTAAGAGTCCACCAATTCATTTGCATAGTTACAGATGCCTGCTTCCCAAAACCTGCATGCTGCCCTTGGTGTTGATCCCTCTCATCTCTAGGAAGATCCTTTGATTCTTGGAGACTGATCATTGTATCTTCATTACAAGCAGTCTGACTTGGAAAAAAAGCACACTCCTCTTGCTCATCAGGCACTCAATTTTACACTCATTTAACTTTATAGCATCTCTTGATTTTATTGAAGAAAAAGGTTAATCATATGCAAACACTAAATTTGAACCTCTGATTCAATCAAAAGTTGGGGAAAAAAACCTGCAATAGTATTTTCTTTAGGTATCAGTAAACTCCAAAGTAAGGCAAATATAAAGGGCTGATTTATTCCCTGATCTAAGCAAAATTCAAGTGTAAATAAATAGAATAACATCATCATTCTCCCTGATGCTTTCATGCCATGCTGTATGAGAGTTTTGTTAAACACTGCCTGTAAAACTGATTTAGAAGCTGAGGCATTATTGAGCCTCATACAAACAGTCTGAAGTCTGTATTCAATGAAAAGTACTGTGTCACAAGTGCAGCCTGATTTGTAATTAAAGAAGGTAATGGAGAAGGGAGGGAAATTTTGAGGATGGAATTAAGCGTACCCCTGGTTGTTCCAGCCAGAGCTGCTGGGATGAGCCTGCCCCATGAGGCAGTGGTGGAAAGGTACAAGGAGAATTTCCTAGCCATAACAGAGAAGTAACACCCCAGGACATGCAGCTCTGTCACATTATAAATGCCACACTTCAGACTGAGCACACCAAATCTGTCAGCCAATCTGTGAGCGCCTGGCAACAGCGGAGCTTGTAAATCCATTATTTGCATACACCCTCCATGGCTTGCCTGATCATATGTAAATACATGTGCCACAATACCTGAGTGACTGCATCTTTACCCACGGGACTGCTGCACAGCTGACAAGTACAGTATGAAATGAAGTGAATATTTATAGCTTCTGTGGGGCTTCTTATCTACCTGACTAACAGCAAAAGCCAATTTTTGTTTTTGAGGACTAGTTAAATTCAGATTTCAGAGGGTAAATAGAGTTCTTTAAACCTTCAAGATATGACAATGTTATATTGGCATTAATACTGAAAGTACTCTGACTCGATGTCAGCCTAACAACAACAGAATGATAATTTTAAGTATTGAGTTCATCTAGGTAATGACTTTGAAACTGCACTGAATTTCCTTTTTCTCAGTTAAAACTGACTGTGATAAAGTGGTAAAGGTCAGCTCCCCATACTGAAGGAAATCAAACCCTCTCTGGTAGAAATTTGTATACAAAGATATGTAATTAAAGAATAAAAAATTAAGATAATTTTCATCATCATTTGGAGAGATTTTGATTTTTTCCACCCTAAGGACAGATATGAAAATGAAGCAAGAAATAGTTAATGTTCTGTGTCATCATTTGAAAGCCAAACACAGCAAGAAATGGAAATTAGAAGTAGAGTGACCAAGTTTCAAATAAATATCCTAAACCCAAGCATTAGGAGCCACAACCAAACTTTTCTTCCCCTAGTTCTTTAAGAACGTCCTAC